AAATAAGACTTAAGTCTAAAAAAACATTGACAAGAGTGAAGAAGGCTTCACTCTTGCATCCATATATATTCTTAACTAAGAATTGTGTAGCAATGTCTTATAGGACCTCCAAAACTTATTGACTTTGCAAGATATGTATCTTAATTTAAAAGACAAGTTTTCTATATGTACAGTATATAATAAGCTTATTTTGTAAACTATCAAAATGTGATTAATTTATTGATCAAGTTTCTATCCTATCAATCAATTATAAATATATGTAAAATTAGAACAATATTTATGAAGCTTCTAAGGAGATTTTTTCAAAAAAATTATAAAATAAATCTAATTTTACTTACTTCGAATTAATCATGTAAATAAATATTAAAGTAACTATGTATGTCCGTGACAATAAGAAAGGAATTAAAAAAAATAAAAATAAAAAGCTTCATTCTTACGTCTATATATACTATCTACTTGAAAGCTATGTGGTAATGTTTTATAGAATTTCTAATATATGTCTAATTTATAAAACATTTATTTTAACTTGTAAAGAAAAATTTCTATATATGCGCTACATGGTTAGCTTGTATCACAAACTATCAATATGTGCAAGATGAGGCTAACTTGTTGGCCAAGATTCTAACCTTCTAATCATCTATAGACACACATAAAGATGAAAATACATCTACATAGCTTTTAAGAAGCTTTTCTACAAGATATTATCAAATTAATTTATTTTTACTTATTTATATTATCTAAGTGATTATTGGAATAAATATCTATATTTGTGATAAATTTGAAATAATAAATTTTATTAAGATAAATATTATAATTTTTTTAAAAGTAATTAATAAATAAAATCTTAAGTATACTTTAATTTTATCACTCAATTATAAATAAAGTAAAAAATCAAAATATCGATTGCACATTAAAAGAGTATGGTCAAAAGTAATAGCTCTTATTTAATTTAATGATTCAAAATTATTTTTTGAAATACAAACCAAATTTTTTAGATAAAATAAAATATTTTTTATTATTTTTATGCATGTTACTTTCATCAAATTAGCTTTATTTTATAAAAATAATATGCAAAAAATCAAAGATATGTACAATCATGTAATTAAATATTTTATGCTATTTCATATAGTTAATTTCAAATTTGATTTAAATTATAATTAATTTGATTCTTTAACAACACTTTTAAAACTACTATTGATAATTATTAGTAAGCATTCTTAAAAATGTATTAAAATCTATATAAGAAAATAATAAGACATGTATACTACATCTAATATTAAGAACATGAATTTAAAACAATAAAAACCTCAATACATTCTTATGTCGTTTAAAAAAGTAGATATTTATTCAAAAGTAGTATTAAAATTAGAATAGCTATTACCAAAGACATGAAGACTAAAAACTCTTATAATAAGACTAAAAATTTAAAAAAGGTATTGACAAGAATAAAAAAGATTTCATTTTTACCTTTAATTAAATTATCTAACTAGAAGTTACATAGCAACATTCTATAGAATCTCTGACACCTGTTCAACTTATAAGACATGCATCTAACTTGCAAGACAAGTTTCTTAAATATACGCAATATAGCTAATTCATACCACAAATCATCAATATGTGCAATACATGGCTAACTTATTGTTTAAGTTTTTAACCTACTAATTAACTATAAATACATATAAAATCAAATCCACATCTACAAAGCTTTTAAAAAGCTTCTCCATAAGATATTATTAAATTCATCTTTATTTATTTTTTACTTAATATTTTTATTTAAATAATTATGTATATATATGATATTATCCCACCTTCTTGAGACAAGTTCTACAAAGAGCAATAATTATATGTTGAATAAATTGAAGATGCAATGAATTGTATTTGCCATATAATTTGATCTTTGTTATTTTTAAAGGTAGTTGATATATCTTTTTAGCCATAAATAATATCATATATTAAGGCATGAAGATTATTTTAATATATAATTATTTTTGAAGCCTTCATAATTTCTTTCAAATAAAATATTTAAAATACCATGATAGATGGTTTTTACTTCTAATAATATCCCAAATTTTGGAAGTCTCTTTCAAGGTTGTAATATCAAATACATTATATGTCACAATTTATTTGAAGAAGAACATATCATTCTTGATACTCTTTATTTCTCTTATGTCACCTTAAAGGCTGTGAAAATTTCAATGTATCATCTTGTAATTTAGCAAATAATAGCTCTTGAGTGTAATTTGATAGTTGTTCATTCTCTATGAACTTAACATCACAAATACAAAGAAACTATAATCAAAGATAGAATATAGAATCCAATATTTATTTAATTTCTTTTGCTTTATAGCAAAAAATTGTTTGACTCTTCATCTTGGTTTTGATGGATATCAATAACAAAAAGTATGAATTTTTTTTGTTGTATTTGCAAGATTCTTAGCTAGCTTGTAAATGCATTTACTAATATTATATCAACTCTATAGCATAAGATATTCTAACCTATTTCAATACTGTTTTGAGTTTAAAACTTCTTTATTCTCAAACTTTTGATTATTGTCCATTTCTAAAAGAGGATGTGACATTTGTCTTTTTTCTGGTATATCAATTTTCTTATATGAATCAAGAAGAAATATGCAAATTATAGAATACATCTTCATAGGGTTTGGTAGGTATAATTAATAAAAAACTCGATTAATTTATTAACAAATAGAAAATAGTCTAAGTCTTTAATAATCAAACTTCTTATAAAGGCAATTAGTCTTAATATTATCATAAATCAATAATAACTTGTTATCAATGTGAAATTGAGGTTTTTTTTTACAACATGCATCTATGTTGATTTTTTCTTACTCTTTAATTATGCCTTTATTGTTGCATATAACTTTGATAAATAATTTTTAAAATCTTTTGCTATTAGATTATTAATTTTGAGAAGTCAAAAGTATCAAGTTGTAGATGATAACTACAATAGCAAAGAAAGGTGTCTATTGAATAGAAAAATATACTATGTTATTTTGAATAAATATTATTAATAACAAAAAATATCCAATCATCTTAATGGTAGTTGATGGTACATCTCAAATATTACTCAAAAATTTTATTTACTTATACTATTTGTTTATCAATTTGAAGATAGAAAGCCAAAGTTAGTTTTATGCCTATTCTCAATACCTTAAACTTATTGTCTAACAAATTATCTTCTTTAGCAATCATACTCCTTATTTTATAATTACATTTTTTTTTTAGATAATGTTGAACAGTGATCTTAGACTCTCCAAAATATAAGCATAAATCTTTATAGCAATATTAAATCTTTTCTTATTGAATAAGATGTTTAAAATATATTACATTAATTTGCATAGGCTTTGGTTTTAATATATAAGTATTTAAAATTTTAAGAATTGCCATCATGATTTAACTTAATCTTGTTTAATCAAATCTTATTTTTTGGCATCTTTTAAAATTTTGATTATTACATGCAATGGCTTAAATAATGAGTTGTTATAATTAATTTGTTCTTAATATTATTAATGAAAAATCTTTGACATTATCTTATAACTTATATTAAAATTAATTGATATAGAGTTTGTCATTCCAATCTTAGTTGCAAGTAAGGTTTTGAAATACAACAATATATATAGTAGTTAAATGTAATCTTTATTGTAAAGATAAGAATCTGGTCTTTGATATTTTTTTTGATTATTTTTTTTTAAATATACACATAAATACTTCCAAAAATGAATTTAATTCATGGAAGAATAATAAATGATTTTCCATCTAAGATATAAACCAAAAAAAAGTACTAATTAGATAGAAATGTGCCTATAAATTAAACGTGAATAAGTCTATAAGAGTAAATAGAAGGATGTAACTTTAGATAGAATTTGAATTGTTATGAAAACCTTCAAAGTTTGATCTCTTTATGAAACTTCTATGGCATAGTAATCCTTATCTTCTTCATAGTTGTAGTAATAAGACTTTTAGATTCAATTGTAAGATTAATCTACTTCTTTCAATTATACAACTTTTTGGTATAAACATTCAACTTCAACATGAATTCTTTTATTCATATTGAAATAGTACCTTTGTGGTTGAGATTAGATACACATGATATTTTCTCTTATAAGAAAATTAATAAGCTCAAAAAAATCTACTATATTGTCTTGTATTTTGTATAATATTATTTTATTTTGATATAATAAGAATTAATTAATATATCTTTTGTTATGATAAGCCAAAATACACTCACCTTGTGTTTGATTATTCTAAAAATAGTTTATGTCACTACTATGACTGAAATAATCTTGAAGTTAGAATCTAGTTTTGAAGTGCTTTTAGGTATATTCTTTATTTCTAGTTAGAATTATTGTTCAAGACCAAGTAAATAATACATGGGCTTTAATTAAATATGGTGAAAAGTTTTTAATACAAAGATTATAAAACTTATCAGATTTAATACACGGTTTTGCAAAGACACAGCTTATAAAAATTAATTCATTATTAGTTATTAAGTTTTCATTCCAAAATTTCCTAAAATTTGTTCACAAAGTAGATAAAAGACCCACCAACAACACTCACCAAACGACCTAGATTGAATCATGTTAATAAAATCTAATCCAAAATTGCAAAATTTATCCTCTGCTGCTTGGAAGCACAGCATTTTAAACCACCAAGTACTAATTAGGCTTGTTACCATCCACATAATATACTTACTTTTACGAAAGCAAAACTGTACGAGATTCTCAAATGGAGTGCAAGTACATGGTGATTTGAAGGTGACAACGGTCTTTTAATTACAAAACAAAATTTGACTCGGGATTCTGGATAACTGCCACAACAGTGGGAACACGTTGATGAATGCACCATATGTGTATATGTATCGAACCTCAAAGCACACCAAGGTGCGCAAAAATATTCCCGACTCTGTGCCTGGACGACGACGAGTCTTCGACTCTTCAGATTGATATGGTCGTTGGACTAGGGCTCAGGGGAGAAAGGCAGGTCACGTGATAGCTTTTCCAGTTGGAGAGGTGGGTGCATGTGATTAGGGTTTCGCTCTGCTGGCTGCCGCGTGGAGTCGTGAAAATCCTACATATTGCCCACGCTGCCATGGCTCTTAGCACAGTCACGCACTACTGTCGTCGGTGGGTGTGACGGAGTTGGGAGCTGGCGGGGAGGCGGTGGACTCTCGGATAGCGTCGCATCGGGGACTGATGCGACGATCTCCGTACATCATGCGGGGCCACCGTGGTCTGAGTGGTCGTAGCGAGTGGAATTCGGTTTGGTGCGGGTTGTGAGTGTGGGGTTGAGGGTCGAGTTGTGCGGCCAAGGATGTTTACCTCTACGGGCGTTGGTTGTGGGCGGTGCTGGGACCTTGTTTGACAAGGAGAACCTCCTCAGCATGCCCTCTGCATTTCTGTAACGCTACAATGTAAACTGAGTCTTTCCAGTGGGTGGTACGGCGTTTCAAGTGTAGAGGTTTTTGTTTGTTCTGGTCTGATCGCAGTGTGGTGAGATGGCGAGGCCGTTGATGAGGATGATACTCAGAGTTTGTGATTTCTGTGATGCTCAAGCTATCATCATCTTACGACCGAGGCTCGATGTGTGGGGGGGTGGGGGAGGAGGCAGGCTGGATGAAGATAGAAAACATAGACCTGTTCTGAACGTGGTGTGTTGAATAAACATGCACTACCAACCGACAGTCTTGTTGGGAGACTTTTTGTGGGGTAGCTGGTTTGTGAGCAGTAGAGACGACGGGAGCAGTGTCCTTGGCGGGGCGCTGGTCCAGCATTGCGGAGCGGCCGTGGCATCCATGCGATGTCGTTGTGGCCGTAGAGTCCTTTTTTAACGTCGAAGATCGACTCGTTCACGGGAGGAAGCCTGAGTGCATTCGTGTGCAGAGGATTCGCCAGTGAGCGCGAGGTCGCATATTCCATTGCCCTGGGGAGCAGCGTCGCTGCAGTTACTCTGTGGGACAGACCATGCGACCTGCAGCGAGGATTTTGGTCTTGTAGCGTGGGGGGCGTGCGTAGTGAGGAGGTCGATGATTACAACCGTTCAGAATACCATATTTCGGATCGTAGGCACTTTCGGGTGGTGACGACACCGTTTTGCATGATGGCCTCGTGGACCGAAAGGGGTGTAAGGGGTTGGGTGGGGGAGAGTCAGTGCGTCCTGTACGAGAAGCAGAGGTCCGTGACGGCGCCCATGAGCTGATCTCTCGTCAGTTGCAGGTAGAGCGTAAGCATCAGTTTCAGGTGGTGAGCCAGTGTGTGTTTGATGGCAGTAGGTTCAATCCATGGTGCTAGATTGTTGGATTATGGTTTGTTGGGGTTGTACAATGCGGGCGTGTAGTTGCAAGCCCGCTCCATGTGATGTGGTGGGCACGCCGGCCTGAGGCGGATCCATGCATAGTTGTGAGCCGGGAAGTCATTTGTTGTTTTGATGTATGTGAAGGGGGCGCTTTCGGGCTGCATCAGATCTCGAGGCTTTGGCGTTGACGAGCTAGGGGGATTGCGGAGTTGGTGATGCGAATTATTCACAAATTGATAGCACACGTTGAACTTGTGGAGGTAGCCTACATCACTAATCGGCACCGATTTTGCGATTTTTGTGTATTCGGTTGATCACGTGCTTGGTTCTATGGAATTTTTAATCGGAGTGAATTGACGTCTGTTGAAAAGCGGGGGGCAGCTACATGATGTGGTTTGAGATATATACTTGTGTGTTTGATATTGGTAAAGGTTGAGCTAGGGATAATGTGTTCTCGATGTTTATTTTATTGACCTAATGTGCTATCTGTTGATTCGATTGTTTGGGTATATTTTTATTTTTCTTACTCTATGGTATTATTACTCTTGATGCAATAATTAGAAAAGTATTTACATGGCATTCTGATATGTGCGACTGAAAATGACAGGATGGTAGATTTAGCATTTTTGTGGATGTTAGAGTTAATCCTTCGATTTGTTAGTTGGGCATAAAAATGTCTTCATAATGATAATATATCTTTCATTGTTTTGATTTTGTTTTTCTAGTTTCAGTTGTTGAAATGTGTTTTTTCTCAAAGGCTCCATTGTCTTCTATATATTGTAGTATTATGCTACTTTGAGATAGTGAAAAATTATCAACATAGCTTTTAGTGTGCCATGGCAAAGTACGTATATCTTGTTTTAACTATTTTAGGAATAGTTTAGATTACTATGATTGATAAAATAATCGTCATGTTGGAACCTTGTTTTAAAGAGCTTCTAGGTATATTATTTCTTTTTCGTTTTTAATTTCTTCTAAAATGCCAAAACAGGTTATAAGGAATAGAAATCATGTTATCAAATTAAATTTAATACCTTTTTGATATTTTTTTTGAAGTGTAAATTATTCCTTCTAATATAACAATTAATGGATATAATAGCTTAGTAATATTTTGTGTTATTACATTTTTTTTTTATCTTGGTATTAATACAATCATTGTGGCTTGAAAAATATTATTAATAATTAACTTGACTATTTTGTAACCTTCACTTTTTTTGTAGTTTAACTTAAAATTTTAAATACAAAATGACCAATTCATTGGTATGTGTAAGAATTTTTGTGCAAATTGCATGAAAAAGATAACCTTTTATTTTATATACTACATTTATTTCAAATAGAAAGATTGTAGATAGCAATCTAAGCCTATATTAAGATTATTAAGTTATGTTTAAAAACAATGTAGAGATTATTCAAGAACATTGTATCTGTGAATGATTAATCAATTTTTTAGAAAAAACTTTATCACAATTTGGATCAACTTATAGCTTATTGCAAAATGAAATCGTTAAATTTAAAGTATATATTAATAAGAATTTAGCTTAGAATATCATATGCCATATAAAATTTTCAGCATGTACTTTCATTTTATCAATGAAGGAAAAAAGTGGATCATATTATGTATGAATAGACTATCAAGAGTTTAATAAGTTTATTTTAAGAATAAATAGCATTCATTTTTATTTTCAAAACTTATTCGATTCAATCAAGTAGAGAATTATACAAAATCAATTATAAGATTGATAACAAAGAATTTTTTAAAATTGTAGATGTATTTTAAAAATTATATTATTATTTAGAAGACGTTTTCAATTGATTCATCATATATATGGATCATAAAAAGCTTAAGTATTTTATATCAACAAATGTTTTGAATCATCTTCAAGCCTATTGAAACATGCTTTTGTCTAAATTTGATTTCAAGTTCAATTATCAATGAAAAAAACAACAAGATTTAAATACTATTTGTAGATATTTTTATTTTATACTAAAGAGAAAAAGATGAAGCTTTTGATCAATAAAGAATTACCTTCTTAAAAATATAGCAATTTTATCTTTAAGCAATAAAATTAACATTAATTATTGATTCAACTTTTCTTAAGCAAGTTCATTTGAATATGTCTTTTAATCCTCTTATTCATGATATTAAGAAGAATTCATCCAAGTCTCATAATACTTCTAAGTTTGAATTTAAAAACAATCTATTTTATTTTGAAGGATGCTTATATATTCTATAAGATAAAATATTATTTTACACTCTTCAAGGTTTTCTTGAAAGTCTATCAATAGAATATTTTGGATATAACAAGATCTTTAAGATAGTATCTAGTGATTTTTAGTAGCTTTAAATGTGGAAGATAATTAAAAACTATATACAATCATATGATATTATTTTTAAGATAAAAAAATTCTTATTGTAAATCTTATAGACTTCTTCAACCATTATCTATTTCAAGATAAATATAATCTTATAATTTTATGGATTTTATTATAGAATTGTTAATTTCAAATTCATATGATTCTATATTTGTAATAGTAGATTATTTTATTAAAATGGTATATTTTTTATCATATACAAAATCTATCATATGTATAAAAATATCTAAGCTCTTTTTTTTACAACATCTATTACTATTATGGATTGCTAAAAGATATTATATCAAATAGAATAATACAATTTACATCAAGATTTTGGAAAATTCTTTTCAAGATATTAAAAGTGGATATAAAACTATCTTTAACTTTTCATCTTTAAATTGTTAAACGAATGGAATGAATCAACATTTTTTTGAATAATATTAGAGATGCACAATCAATTACTATGAAGATAATTGAGAATCTTTTTTGCCATTGGCAAAGTTTGTTTATTATTATATGATACATTCTTCTAATCAATTAACATTTTTTTTCTAATTATAATTATCATCTATGATATAATAACTTTGACTTCTTAACAATTGATAATCCTATAATAAAAGATTTAATAAATTATTTATTAATACTACATCCAATAATAAATGTATAATTATAAGAATTTTAAAAAAATAGATTAATATAGATATTTATTATAAAAAATAATCTCAATTCTATATAGGCATTAAGGTATAGTTACTTTGTTGTAATATTAAGAATATTTATCTTTGTAATAATTTGGATTATTATAGACTTGGACTATTTTTTATTAAGGAATAAATCAATCTTATTGCTTATTAATAATACCTACTAGAGTCTATAAAGATCCATCATGTATTTCATATATATATTTTTTTGAACCATATAAGACAACAAATGTATTGAAAAGAAGACAAATGCCACTTCATCCTATAGAAGTGGATAATAATTAAGAATATATAATTGAAGAAGTCTTAGACTAAAGACTATGCTAAAATAGGTTAAAATATCTTGTTCATTGGCACAAATATGATATTAATAAATGTATATGGAAGTCAATCAAGAATCTTGTAAATACTACAAAGAAGTTTGATGCTTTTCATAAATAATATCCATCAAAATGCCAAGGACACAAACTGAAAGAAGATATATAAACTCATGGAATTTGTGTCAAAAGAGAAGTGATAAAATAAAATAAAGTATGTATATTCAAGGAAGAACTCGAATGGCTATTATTAAGGATTAGAAAATATAAGACTCTTGAAACTAGACTAAAAACATAAAAGGAGTTGACAAGAGTGAGGAAGGCCTCACACTTGTTTCTATATATACTACTTAATTAAAAATTATGTGGTGACATGCTATATGACCTCTAATATGCATCCAACTTACAAGACATATGTCTAATTAGAAGACAAGTTTCCTAGGTGTGGGCCATATGTCGAACTTCTACTACAAGTGGTCAACATGTCCACAGGTAGCCTCCTTGTTGGCCAAGTTTTCAACCTATCAATCATCTATAGATATGTATAAAGGCAAAGCAACGTCTATAAAATTTCTAGGAAGCTTTCTACAAGATATTATCATATTCATCTACTTTGACCTACTTCTATTTATTCTTATTATCTAAATAATTATTAAGGTAAATATATATATTTGTGACATTATTCTTTCTTACAGGAACGAGTTCCACGAGGAGCGGCAATTATATATCGATGAAATCCAAGATGCACCAAACTATATTTGCCATATATTCCAATCTTTGTTTCCTTCAAAGGTAGTTGATATGTCCCTTCAACTATCAATAATGTTCTATATTAGGGTAAGAAGATCACCCTAATATTTCATCATTATTGACTTTTTGATAACTTCATTCAAATAAAATATTAATAATACCATCAAGAGTGGTTACTACCTCCAAAGGTATCACTAAATACTGGGAGTCACTTCCAAGGTCGTGGTACCAAACGCATTATATCTTGCCATCTATTTGAAGAAAAATATATCATTTTTGAGGATCTTTATCTCAATTTTCTTATCTCAAAGGTTGTAATAGTCGCAATGTCTTATCTGGTAGCTCAAAAAATGATAGCTCTTCAGTTGAATCTGCTGGTTGTTGGTTCTCTATCTCCTAAGTACTAAAAAATCCAAAGAAATAGTGATACAAGATAGAATGAAACCTCCATTGGGCTTTATGAATCATCAAATTGACTCACTAGTTGTTTTAGGTCAAAAGAATGCATGTAGAATGAAAAAATTACAATTTTTTGGTGAAGATGTGCTTAGAAGAGATAAAGGAAGAAGAATAGTATTAGTAGAAAAGAAATGGAGTCTGAATAAGTCTTGGAGGTAATTATTTTAATTAATTTAGTATTTTTACTTACTATTAAGTAATAAGGATTAGTTACTAAGATCAATATATATATTGATCTTACATCTATATATATTACTTATAAAAAAAACTATAAATATTAGTTAGTAGTTAGAAAAAAAAACATGAAAAAAAAACCTCATGTCATTTTAATTATTTATACAAAAAATAAGATTTATAGTAGATTTAAATTGATTTTATTACTATAAAAACCATCAAGATAGGAAATTGTATCCTTAAATGGATATTAGCATTATAGAAATATTATAATATTTTTTAGAATTTATTTAGAATTTTTTAGGAATTTTTAGAATAATTTTTAAGACCTTTGTAAAAATGACTTTTATCACTGAGGAAGCCATTATGAAGAAATGGAATAAGATTTGAAGGCAATAAAAAGTTCCTAGGCTAATTGGATGTTTTTAAATACCATGTTTTGGTCAAAATTAAAAAAATGATGGTCCTTCTAGTAGAAAATAGAAGGACCAATAGCTAGTATAGTTCTTGTAGGAAGAGAGGTGTACAAGTTCCATATGGGTTGTAGCACCTTGAAGGTAGTTAGGAGGATAAGACTAAGGCCTCGTTGCCTCTCTTAGATACCCTTATATACTACATGTGAGCCTTGGTGAGGCTCGAACCCTTGATCTATAAGCAAATTACCTTTGAGGTAAAATATTTTTACTTAACTTTTTGTTTATTTATTTATTATTTCAAACCTTCATAACTTACTCATAATAACTCGGATTTACATGTTTTTTATACCATTAGAAAGATAAAAAAATTACCTATCTATAATATATTTTTTAATTTTAATTTTATTTTTACTGAGCAAAAACACAGTGAACTAACTGTGACTAAGTTTTGGAGTGTGTATTTGCTTGTATACATTTCTTTCACTTGTTTGAATTGTTTTCTTCTTTATTTTTTATTCATTGCATCTTCTAATTCATACTATCCATTACAAGAAACTCTTAATTTAGGCCATATTGTAATTTGGATAGATGGATGAAATTTAAACTCATAGGCTTGCTTTGCTTTCTAGCAAAGAATTTTTTAACTCTTCATCTTGGTTTTGATGGATGTTGTTGATGAAAAGCTTTAACTTTGGCTGATGCATTTGCTAGATTCTTAGATGGCTCTCATGTACATTCATTAATGTCATATCCGTGCCAATGTACTAGATATTTTAACCTATTTTGGCATTGCCTT